CAAACGATAGAACAACATTATGTTTGGTCATTGTGGTTTGGTGATGTTTGAAGCTGAGTCATTACGTTATTTTTACTGAGGGTTCTTCAATCTTTTTTTAAGGTGGAATTCCTTGGCATGAATAGGAGACAGTTTGTTATGAGATGAAAAATAAAATGTTTATCATAATTCATAGATACTTTGATCACAATTTTATTTTTTACTAACAATTGTCTTTAAGAAGCCGTAAGAAATGTCGTCCCAAACGAGTCAAATCTCAAGTTTTAATATTTAATTTTTTGGCAACAAGCACTCTGAAGCTATCGACAGTTAAGAAGTAGTTTTTTACCTGTATAGTCCTCAAGAAGCATTCTGAAAGGGCACTTGGGCTCAATTCATGAGCCCATGCAAAGATTGTAGGGTCTTCATTATAAGCAACTCAGTTTTGACCGTTGTATCGTTGATCAGGTCTTCTCATAAGGCCAAGTTGTACAGTGGATTAGCATCAAATTATAGCATTTAAATTTTGAACCCGTATCATATTAAGATTTCCTTAAGATGAAAAAATAAACACCAGGTCTAAATTGGATTATGATTAATAAAACATACATTTTATGTGATTCTTTTTTGATAAAAACAAAAAAAAAAAAAGAAGGGATTTATTGCGAATGAATATTGAAATTTGAAAAAATCAGCAAGTTGGGGAAGAAAAAAATGATGACTTAAATGTGAATAATGGGATAATATTTACAAAAAGAAAGCCAAATTTTGGGATGCTCTGAATTATGAAGAACTCGTGCTCTGTTAATTAAACAACGATGATTATAACACCAAGCAGTTTTGAGTGAGTTATATATTTTAATCAATTATTGCTTTCATTAGCTCCATTAAAATGAAGATGGCTTAGGATTTGATTGGGACGGCTTTTATTACTGCTTCTAAAAAGCGGCTTTCTCCAGTTACAAATTTTTAATTTTTGTACCAGAAAGCCGCCTTTAAGTAAGCAGCAAGAAAGCTGTCCCAAAAGAAACTTTAGGCTCATTTCTAAACAACTTTCTACAAAATTCTAAGTTAAAATTTTTTTTTGTACAAAAGGTGTTTTAAAAGCTATAATAAGCTATCCCAAACGCAAGGCTTAGTCAAATGAGGGCATTAATTATCACCACCACCAACATAAAAAGGGTAAGAAGTCCAGTTAGAAAGCACTTCAAGTTTCAGACGCTTAACATGATTCTTGTAGTTTTCCTTTAACAACGTTATTGCTAAACGAATCATGCATCAGATCCAATGTTCTTCTCCCTGATTCTTTGCCCACTGCACGTAACTGCCTTCCCTTCAAAGTTTCATACATTATTCACTAAGCTAATGAATAGCTGATACCCATACCTTCTTGCCTCGGCAAATCACAAAAATCCAAGCCTAAAATGCAACAGCAAATCCAGTAAAAACAAAATCAAGGAAAAAAAAGAAAAAAGAAAGTCTTTCAAGAATCCAGAACGCTTGGAACAGTTTGCTCATTGTAAGATCCAGGAGAGTATTGCAATGCATTGCTACCACCGTCATTGAAAGCCCAGGTTCTGGCTACAGTGAGTCCATTAATCGAAGCTTCTTTGAAGGCAGTGGAAACTTTGTCTCTCTGAGAGGGATCTGATGCCATGTTCATGAGCCAATATGCATTGAACCCATTGAAAAAGAGTGGGTTGCCATTAAGCATAAAATGGACTCCATTCGTCCTGATGAAGCTCTCTGCTGCCTTGGCATGTTGATTCTGACACAAGAGAAGAATCAGGAAAACTCCTAAAAGAGTAATTACTCTCATCATCTTAACCTTGACTCGTCTGTGAGGAGCAATGTGTAAGGTCTTCAACAGACCTAATTCTTTATATATAGTAGATACGGGAAGCGGAGTTTTTGATGCGCCTGCGTGTGAAAGGAGGATTTGCAGAGATAATTCTTCTATGCTTGTGTGACAATTTATTGAGCGCTCTCAGTCTTCAAAGCAGAAGAACATCTGCACATCCAGCTCTGTATTCATTTGACATTTAAATATATAATTATATACTTACTAGTTTTCCTGACGTAGAAATATGCTGATAGTCATCACCTAATAATTTTTTTTTTGTGTGGAATATTCGCAGTTAGCTGACTTATGGAATGGGTTGGCTGAAAACTCTTAAACACATATACAATTTTCAAAATCTTCATATTATTGGCCGGGGAGTTTTAGGCGAGAGTTATAAATATTTTTTTTGAGTTTATATTTTCATTTTATATTTTACTATTATTATTGTTATATATTTATAAATGAAAAAATAATGAGCAAAATAATTGTCTGATGCAAACACATCTTATAGATTTTTACTTTTGAATCACCATAAAAGTTATTTATGATTATAAAAGTTGCTCTGAGGAAAATAACTTCATTATCATGATTACATAAAGTAGATTTTCGCTACAAAAATATATGAAAAAATAGCAAAAAAATAATAATAAAATAAAATTATAATTATTGTCTGAAAAATAAATCAACAAGAAAGCTATTCCAACTAGACTCTTATATTGTTAAATCACATACTTCTTTAAAAATTTGCTAGAAAAGTATCCTAATTTTCTAATTTTTATGTGGTACTTTGTATTAATTTTTAGTTATGTATGGGTTAATTTACTCTATTTTAAAATTTTAATTATATAAGAAGCTCAATATTTTAAATTTAAATATCTCATTATTTTGGTATGCGCTAACCATAAAACTTGTAATTTCTTTCTCATGAAGGAATCACATGACTCTCGTCCGATCCTCTTGAATGATGGAATCACATGACTCATCTTGAATAGTCTCCTGAGCAAGCATCGCCATCTCTAGATCTTTGTGGAGAAAAATTGATAATTATTTAACATTATAAAATTATAATTAGTTATTACATGTATATGTGACTATTACATTTATAAAATAAGCACATATTTTGATGCAAGTATGCAAACAAAAAATTTCTTAGTTGATTTAACGATTATTGGAGATCCATTCTTTAATAAATTTATAGTCGAAACAAACATTTTAATGAAAAAAAGATTCAAAGAAATCAACTGCATTGATCTGAGACAAAATGATAAAAAATAAGAACACGAAGCATATGTGAAAAAAGATTCAAAGAAGCACAATTTTCAGGAGTCATCTACTCAAACATATGAAATTATTAAATACCCTATTACAGCATGGTTCAAGTTACCTGCTATTGACCCTTATGATGGGTCATCTGATTTTTATGAACATATTGATCATTATATAACTATCATGCATATACAGTGTGCTTCATAACACACTTCTTTGCCAAATTTTCCATGCTACCCTTAAGGGTCTAACTCATACATGATTTTATGCTCCCCCTAGAAGTATAATCCAAAATTTCACTTATCTTACAAAGTTTTTTTTTTTAAATAATTTATCGCCAATCAAAGAATTATCAATGATTCCTCCCATATTTTTGAAATCAATAGAATGAAGGAGAATTACTAATGGTTATTTCCAAAGATTTTCTTTTGAAGCACACCAAATTCCATGAGTTGGTCCTAAGCTATTGCGAGGTGTTTTTCTTGGAGGACTATGCCATGGACCATTTTACTCTTTATTAATGCAGGAAATCGTTCACTCTTATGTTGACCTAATTCACAGAGTATAAACTTAAATTAATGCTGATGAGTCTATCAATGCTAATAAAAAAAATTAAGAAACCATGGAATACAAGAAAGAATGAACACGAATGTGAAGCTTAAAAATCTAAAAAAAGAAATCAGGACCTTTCACCTCGACCCCCTAAGCAAGACCATAAATATATGATGAAGAAGGAATATACTCCATTAAATACATTGTGATTTAACATTCTCATGGTTATAAAAAATGAAAGAACCATTAAATGGCCTAATATGTTGAAGCCAAACACTGGCAATCATGATTATTATTGTCACTTTTATCAAAGATGAGGATATACTACAAAGCTTGATTGCAGTTGAAAGAAGAAATTGAAAGGTTAATTCAACAGGAACATCTTCATCAATTCACCAAAAATCCACCTTCTAGAAATGAAAAAATCATGGTAGGGGTCATAATCAACATCAACAACAAGCTAACTGCCAAATAATCAGAGAAATTGAAACCTTTATCGAAGGACCCTTATTGTCTTCTCAGGTTCTCCTCACCACCCCAGAGGAGCCAACATTGAGGAATACTAGAGCTGATCATTCCATCATATTTAATGATTCTGACTTGGAAGTGATCTATACTACAAATCAAGACTCGCTTATCATCAGTGCCGGTATTGGAGATCCATGTTGTAATGTCAAAAGAATCTTAATTGATAATAGGAGCTCAGTTGATATTCTATTTTACTAAACTTTTCTTAGTATGAGTCTGGTCAGAGAAAAACTTTAACCTGCTGATAAACATTTGTATGGATTTGACAACTGTCTGTTGTGGGTGGAGGGGACAATTACTCTCCCTATCACACTTGGAGAATTCCCTTGGTAGGTTACTCACTCAGTTCAATTTATTATTGTCAAATCAAAATCAATATACAATGCCATATTTAGGAGACCCCTACAATTAATCTTGGAGCTATCGCTTCTTTGCCCCATATAAAAAGTAAAATTTTAACTCTAATTGAGATTGGCGAAGTACATCAAAATCAACAAGTTGCTCAAACTTGCTACCTTGGACAAGCTCAACCACGCCCATCTGTCTTCCTGTATATTAAAAATTTTGATTTATGGAATAAAGGTATCTATTATCTTAAATTTTATAGTTCATAAATAATAAATTTTGTTTTAATCAAAACATATTAATGGATCAAGTTTTGATCATTTGGGTTGCTAGCAAGTCGATTTAGATTGATGTTTTTGACTTCTTTTTTAAACAAATCAGATTTGTGTTGATTCAGATCCAGATCGAGATCGAGTTGGTTCAGATCAGTCAAATTTGGCCCATCCACAAATCCGTGTCCGCGCTCCCGGAGGGGTGTTTCCGTAATATGGACCGAATGATGACTCGGCCATGGCTGAACGATATGCTTCCACAGGCAGTGAGCCTACCCGGAGAGGCACAGGAAGCTAACAAATGGCTATGACACTCTCAACCCCGTTCACCCCAAGCATCAAAGCAACCACCACCAAATCTCAGAATCCCTTCAAGGTACGTAAGACCCAGTACTTCTAGTTTGACGGAAACCCTAGAAATTTATACCGGATATGATTGCACTAAGCACCATAATCGGCCTCAGGCGGCGGCTCCGGGCGGCGGATTTGGACGTTGGAGCTGTCGGAAGAAGGAAGGGATACACCCTGAGTTCTACGAGGATGCTAAGGTGTACTGCAATGGCGAGCTGGTGATGACGACGGGTGGTACTCAGAAGGAGTACAGCGTGGACGTGTGGTCGGGTAATCACCCCTTCTACCTTGGCAGTCGCTCCGGCCTCGTCATTGATGACGACCAGGTGGAGAAGTTCCGGAAGAAGTACGGTCAGCTATCTGACCTCATGGAGATTCCCGTCCTCAAGGGCGAAATTATTCTCCCACAGAAGAAGAAGGCCTCTTCCAGCAAGGGCAAAGGCAAAAAGTAGCAATGATAATCCTCGTTATTTTATTTAGCTCTGCTTCCTTCATTCCTTCTTTAATCTGCATTGCCTATTGCAATTTGTTATGTGCGGCGGAGAAAACGGATAGTGCCGTGTGTGTTTGATTAAATACCAAATCGCTGTGGATTATCTATAATCGCGTTCTTTAGCATGGTAAACTAGGTGATGGCGATAAAAATGAAGAAGTTTTAATGATAATCATTGGACTAGTCTTTTGTTTATAATGTGAATATCCTACGCCGAAGGAAGCAATGGTGTGCAGTTGGTTCAGTTCATTGTTTAGAATTGTCTTGTGCTGCTTGGTTGTGATTAGCTTCCTTATTTAAACTAAATAGAAATAGAATGAAAAAAGCAAAGAGGTTATGCCTCTTTCAATTGATTTTGAACGTGTGCTATTTGCTCATCGAGATAGAGCGCCTGAATTTTTTGGGTCATCTGCAAGAATAAATATATATTATTAAAAAATTATTAGTTATGCTAGCTAAAATTCCTTACAAGTTATCTTTCATATTTCAGTAGGATTTCCTTTGCTTCATTTCTTAGTTTTAGTGTAATAAGTTCCTTGCATTCTTGCTTTGGGGAACCATTTTAAGTTTTGTTCCTAACTTACGCTTTTATTGATGTGGGGTGAAAATCTTTGGTTCGTTGGAAGAATCAGACTAGCAAGAAGGAAATCCCAATCTAGGGAACAATGACAAACACAAAGCTTCAAAAGCTTCAAAAGAGGATAATATTCATCAACGATCTTTCTTTCTACAATACTTTACCTATTTATAGGCTAATAAGAACATTCTAGAAATTATAAGTAACAAATTTATAATAAACTATGTAAGCTATTCGTAAGGAGTATTATACTAAAGATGTTCCTACATTATACTCCCCTAGCGTCAGAAGGCCTTGACTCCATCAAGGCGCGTTGTCCGGAGGGAGATAGCGATCCTCCTGGGTCAAAAATTTTGTTCGCAATATTTGTTGCAAGTGCTTTAATAAATTGCCCCTCATGAATAATAGTGTTAGATTTTTCATACGAAGAACTTGAAAGTCGTTTAACAGCTATCAGTTTTTATCTTATGGCCCACCAAAATTATGATTCCATCCTTCAGTTGGATAAGCTTTCTCAGTGGACTGTACATCGATCATTTGCACACCTTCAATGGAAATGTCCTCAATACCAACATTGTAGTTGTCATTCAACTCAGTCTCCCCATCTCCATGATCCATCATTCTAACTTTAAGCCTGTTAAGAATCTCACGATCATCATACTGAGCATTGGATGTACGAACTGTAGTCTCCAACAATCCTGCTAATTAGAAGGAGCTGATAGTATTTGCTGGCTCTGACAGTTCAGGATCGATGATATCCATTAAGTACTGCACAAAATCTCCATGCCCTAGAAGAAGATACCTCTTGATTGCAAGGCAATGATCCTTGAATTTATACCTTTTATGAATCACATCCATCATATGCCGATCAATTTGTTTGGCAGCTTCAACCGTTAATGCCTCAAGGGCATCAATCTCACCAAAGCCAAGCCCGCCCCTTCTGGTTGCAGCTCCAACAGGGGCAGCAGCCTCAACGGTAACTTCCGCCGAACCACTGTCTTCACAACAAACACATATGAAATTAATTGACTTCCCCATCCTCAGAATCCTCATTTCAAAAAAGGAGAACATACTCTCCTTAGCAACCGACCCATGAATTCCTAAACCAAAGGGTTTCCATGCTGGGCATGAGCGTGAATAACTCCAGCCATGGCTCCGCCCCTTAGTTCCTGGCAGCCATCCACCAGTAAAGCCATTAGACGCATCCTCATCATTGGCTCTGCAAGCCAAACAAAAAGCCGCCGCAAAGAGAGGTAGTTTTCAGGGCTTCCTCCAAAATCAAATTCGGCTGAGGGGATAGGATTAGCATACTGTGATTCTAGCACTGCGAGAAGCTTATAGTAATCCGAGAGTTCGTCTTGAAGAGCAGAGCAAAAGGCTTGCCCAACTGTGCTGACCTCAAACTGTTGATCCTTAATGCTCTCCGAAATGTAACCTCTTACCTTCCGGAAGAACCATCCAAGTTCACAGAGTTGGCAAATGATGGATCTAGTAGGCCTTGAGAAGGAAGGGATAAAATGATGAACGTTAGGGGTAGTAATCCTAGTGCTCTCAACATAAGCATTCCTTCCATCTCTGAGATCAATGAGCTCAATGTCTTGGAACTGGGAGCTGGCTCTCCTTGTCGCTGAGACTCTACATTCCGGAACATTCGAACCAAATAACACAGGGGCGTCCCCACACTCTGCCAGAATTTCATTGGAGTTGTTGTTTCCTTAACAAAATTACTTTATGGCATCTGATCCCTGTTGCCGTTTGCCATCAATAGTGGAGGAATGCAAGTGTAGATCGCATGTAAGTGTGAGGTAGGGCATGGGATTGCCGAAGTGGAGCGGAAGTGAGGGCAAAGTGGTGTCGGGGCCGAAATCATGTTGGAATAGCTTCAGATCATGGTTCTGGTTGTGAGAGAAAGCGGAGGTGGAATCGGGGTTGGAGGAGCAGAGGAGTGATGGGGATGGTATGGTTGCCGACCTGCTCGTAATTATCTCCACCGAATGCATGAAATTAATTCATAAAGCATCTATTTGATCAATTGATGCTTTCAGTTGAGCCACTCGAAGAGCCTCGCAACGTCGATCATCATCGATTGTCCTTCTTCTTTGGCGTCGATCTTCGTGAGAATAGTGGGGTGGCGGATCTAGCCATTGGAGTGGAGGATAGTCTTCTTCTTTGTCGTCGACCGCCCATCTCCTTCGGCATCGATCTTCGTCGACCGTCTATCTCCTTTGGCGTCGATCTTTGTCGACCGCGCATCTTATTCGGCGTCGATCTTTGTCGACCGCCCATTTTCTTCGGCTTCGATCGTCATCGACAACCCACCTTCTTCTGCAGTCCATCGATCTTCGCAAGCTCCAGGCCTGATACCAACTGATGTGGGCTGTTAGATCGTTGGAGGAATCAGACTAGCAAGAAGAAAATTCCAAACCAGGGAACAAAGACAAACTTAAAGCTTCAAAATAGGGTAATATTTATCAATTTTCTTTTCTACTACAATACTTTGCCTATTTATTGGCTAATAAGAACATTCTAGTAATTATAAGTAACAAACTTATAACAAACTATGATAAACTATTCCTAAGGAGTTTTCTACAAAAGATATTCCTACATCATTTATCTAATCAATTTTTATTTTTTAATAAAAGTAAAGTTGCAAATAGTGTTGCTTATGTTGTGATTGCTTAAAAGTTCTTTATGAGAGTTTACTAATGAATAAGCCGTAGTGGATATTAAATGTTGGACAATACTGATACTAAAAGTCTTCAAGATGGCTCATCATTGCATTTATCCAAATTTGGCAGGTGAGGAGATCTGATTTTTGCTTGATCAAATGTCGCCAGGAAGGTTCACGACAAGGGAGCTTTGAAGGACATCTAGTGTTGGATAGGGTCCGTAATAAAACTCCTTGAAAGGGCTCATTTACACATGAGCCTTTATTGGGTAGGTGAGAAGATAGTCTTCTCCTAATCAAAATTCCCCATGAGGGCTCACTATTGTATGAGTATCTAAAGATATTTATTGTTAAATAGGGTCCTTATTAAAGACCTCTGAGAGGGATCATCGACATAACCCTCTATGGAAGATGTAAGTGAACAGGGTGTCTACCTATTTAAAAGTGTAATGAACGAGTCGATGCAAGACTTACCCAATAAAACTAGTGTGATTCGCCTTGTCACTCCACTTCTTGATCCAACCCTATGCCCTTGACGGTCTCCATTGTTGACATAATCAACACTGAGATCTCTCCCTTCCCAACTTTATTTTCTACCTTAGGTTCTAATTTATGAGTCAATAGCTAGGGCATCACGTACCTTTTCCTCTCCCTCACAACCTCCAACTGGGAACCCCCCTTCTCTCAATTTTTAGCATCACCTCATTTTTTCTTTCTTTCTTTTTCCTAGCCATCATAGTTGTCATCACATACATCTTTTCACCCTTGATGCCATTGCAAGCAATATTTGGATTCATTGTCATTAATCATCTATTATAACATCTTTATATTCATATATGCCTATAGTCTATTGTTGGTTTGCTAACATACCTTGAATTGGGTTGTCACCAACCCATGGAAATCCAATGATTTTCAAAAGAATTGTTTTCCTTTGAGCCCATGGAAATCTATTGATCTATACATTCATTATAAACAAGTATACGCATTTATATATATTACAATCTAGTTTTAATAGATATTTTATAATCAATATGAACAATGCTAGTTTCATAATAAAACTTGATATGCATGAACTATATTTATTGTATTTAACTAAAGTTATGCGCAGCAAAGTAAATCTATCATGTTTAAAAATTGCAAAATTAGAGGCTTACCTCAATGCTCGCCTCATTGCAATTAAAAAAAAAAAAAAGGCATAGGCGTATGCCTTATGCTTATTAGATGAGGTTTACTCTTTAGAGGGGTTAGGTGCGCCTCAGCGCAATTTTAGCATTATTTTGATAAGTCTTAAAATTAATTATGTATGTAATTTTAAAATTTAATTTAAAATATATATAATTAATTATTTTTACTATACCAAAATAAAATCAACTTGAGAAGGACTGCACGACCTCAAACTTGCATTCGTAAGACCTTGTTGCTTACACCTAATCCTGCTACATTGCCGATGCTTCTCCTCCAACACCTCTCCTCATGTTGTTGGAAACTCATTTTTTTATTTTTAGTACGTGGGAAGAGATAAAGCCATTAACTATAGTGATTTTTCTAATGAAATCCTTTTAATTGATGAGAATATGGTGACTTTTTGAATTCATAAATTAAAACTTTAGACTAGTTGTTTATGTTGAATTGGGATTAGGAGAAACTATTTTTTTAGCGGCATTTATAGCCTTGTCAAAATGTAGTTGGATTATTGGTAGAGTTTTTTCATTTATTTTATTCTATCTTTTGTACTTGAAGTCGCATATTTATTTGGATGCCCCATTAGTGCCTTCCATCTTTGTTCTATGGATTCAAAAACCTTTGGAGCCATCCTTGAGCTTGTAATTTATGGTCATCGTATTTTGCATTAGCCTATGATTTCAATTGTTAGTATTTTCTTTTTAATGTGGAAAAGCCTAGTGGTAGGAATTATAATAATTAATAAATACACAAAGTATAAAATAAGGATAAAAAACATAATAAAAAAAACAAGAAGATTTATATGGTTCAACCAAAGTATGTCTACATTTATGAGCAAAGGGATAATATTCAATCCATAATAGAGAAGTCAAATTTGTGTACAAATAAAATGGGCACAAGAAGACACTCTTTCTCAAATTTAAATTCTCTGAAAATAGAATCCTCAAATATCTTAAGCCAAGCATAAAACAAAATCACGAGAAATGAGAAAATTTAACTAACACTAGTAATTCTCGTAAGGATAGATCTAGTGAGGGGGATTGTGATTTTTGGGCGATCAAGTCATTAAAAAGAGTACATGTTTTAGTTATCTTGGGTTTATTGTTCACAGTGATGGTGAAATAGATGAGAATATTATTCGTAGAATTCAAGTTGGATGGTTGAAGTGAATGAATGCATCAGGCTTGTTGTGTGATAGAGAAGTACCCTTCACACTTAAGGGAAAATTCTATAAGATGTTGGTGAGACTTGCAACGCTTTATGGCGCAGAATGTTGGCCATTAGAAGAGATTAAGTTAAGAGTTGTACAGATGAGGATGCTTTGGTGGATGAGTGGCTTTACTCGTAGAGACATAATGCAAATTGAGCATATACATGAAAATGTTGGAGTAGCTCTAGTGGCATATAAGATTAGAGAGATTCGTCTTAGAGTGTTTGGTCACATAAAATGTCAGCCTTCTAGTAACCTGATTATGAGAGTATATATATTAAATTTGGCTAATGTTAAGAAAGATAGAGGTAGACCTAAAAGACTTTGTTAGAAAATATTAGAAATGCAATTTTTATTAGATTTAAATGTGAATTTGACTTTTAACAAGACAAAATGGAGAAAAATGTTTCATGTAGCCGACCCCTCATAGTGGGATAAAAGGCTTGAGGTTGTTGTTGTAGCAATTCTCTTCTTAAATGATTCTTAAAAATTGCCTAGACACATTTCTAGTATTATCGTGCTTGCACCACAAGGTAGTTCTCCGTGGTCACAAAAAATCTTTTTGATTCTTCTCCTCTCTCTTTCTTAACTTCTCTCCCTTCTCTTTTTCTAATGAAACAGTATTTTTTAAGCAGTGTCATGCAACATTTGTGAATTGAAAATGCTGCCAATTGATTTATCCATAGAGAAGTTTAGACTCTTATTGCTCTCCTATGGTTAAGATCTTAAGGAGATGATTTCAAATCTAAATCAGATTCAAATTTTGACTTGGAGCTATTCAAAATTGCAAATACTTAAACAAAATTTAATCCTGATTTTATTCAAAAAGAGAAAGGATGATCTGTATTCATTATAAAAAAACTATTTATTGAAATTTTATGATTAACCTTGTAGTCAAAATTTTAACTACTATATAGAATTAAGAGGGATATTCTATGACTTGACTTTATGTTGGTAATCATCGTTGAAATCCCAGTCTTTCATGAAATAATTCAAATCTGAGAACCCAATGTTCTAATACTTGACTTTATGTTCGTAATTAGCCTTGAAAATCCTGTTTTTTCATGCGATGATTCAAACAGAGAACCCAATTTTCTTAGAATTGACTTTATGCTGGAAAGTAGCCTTGAAAACCTAGTCCTTCCATCCAATTATTCAAATAAGATAATCGACTTTGGTGTTAAGAAATTAGTTTTTTTTTTGGCTTCATAGCGGTGCCTTCTTTTGCTGACGGCAATGACTCCATGATTATGGTACCTCCTATTTGCTTTAAAACAAAATCTTTTAGCATATGCATGTGCTAGTGTATGTGCGGGTGAGCAGGCAGCGGTTGAACTTTTGTTTGAGCCTGGTTTTGCATGAACGACCAGGCGTGTAAAACATGTTCTAAGATTTTAATTAAATACATCTTTTTGGTTCTATAAAATGCAGAACAATTAGAAATAAGGTAGAGGCAATTTTTGTTTTATAACTACTGGACAGTAGTGCCAATGTTATTTTGAGCCAATTTTAGCTTCTACTTATGTAAAGCAATCTAACCTTGTATTAAGCTTTACTTCTATTTCGTCAGCAGTCATCTGTATATAGTAATTCATCTAGAGCACCTTGTCTTTTTGGGTTATAGTGATGAGGACATCTACCAGGGATTCAGACATGTGTATCATCGGGGAATCGTAGATCGATGGCTACGATTTAGAGTATGTATTTTTTATTCTATATATTATGTTGCATTTGAGTTTTCCCATTTTACACCTATGGGGAATTGAGTCTATGTTGTAGCCTGAGGGCACTTTAGTCTTTTCGGTTTTTCTTTCATTTGGGCATATTTATAGGAGGCCTCTTGCATTGTATGGGATGATGAATGATTAATGAAAATTTTCTTTTGTTTCTTCTTCTTGTGTGAGCACTAGAGAAGGGAGAGAGAGCTCGAGGTGAGCAAG